GTGTGCACTAACTTGATGAATTCGAGGGATGGTAAGCGGCTGTCTTTTGACCGCTTGACGATTTTCTTTTTTGGTAACTGCATCGTAATTCTGCCGCACAATAATTTCTCTGCGTTTCACCTAGCCAAGACAACGTTCCCGTGTAGATGCGCACGCTCGGTTCTACAGAATTATTCTCCGACCAGCCCTCAAGTTTGGCCAAATTTCTAATTCACTCCTTCGTAAATGCGTAGAGCAAAAAACAGGATGCCCGGTATGTTTGTTACTAACGTCCATCTTGAGGATAAGGGTAGTTTGGTTGAGCCTTCCGGCAGGTGGGCGCGCCTATAGTGACGTGAACAATTACTACTACGCCTCTGACGGTGTTATGGGTCTGAGCGCCTTAAACGACGTAAGTCAGTTTGTTGCTGTTTTCCGAAGCAAAGATGAAGTGAAAATATTTTCCGGCATGTTTATCCAGTAGTAAGGAGGCAATCAGCCTTCTGCCCTCAGTTGGATAAAATGCATTCGGTATGTGGTATCCATCATGCAAACCACAATTAGAATGACCGCGAATACGCTGAAAATAATTCACCAACATTAAAATCCTTTTGAAGTGCCATTTTGCCTTGTATGATTGACTCGGCACAACAATATTTCCTCAGAATCCATTCAAGCACCCGCATTGGTGAGTTCCTCTTAGAAACTCATCATGGAGAGCAGACGTTCGCCAATATTCTTCTGTGCTAGAAAAATTATTAAACACGTTTTATTTTGTATTTTGTATGCTGATTGTGACTGGAATTTTCAGTGGCATAAAAATCTTGAATTACTAATTTGTTACTAAAAATTTTCCCACCAAAAAACCGCTGCTGGCGTGAAGTTTGTGATATACACAGCCTGGCTAGACTTAACGCTCTAAAGTATCCGTATCAAGTGCTTCGTGGCCAATATGGCCAGGATATAACTTGGAGGAGAATTAGCTAGGGGCCTTGACCCATGAAAACGAAAACACTTCCCATAAAATCTGAGACGTCCTAAGCTGGACTTGTGATCTAGTTGCATAGTTGAACTGTTTCTCGATGAATGATTCGTTTCTTTGAGCTTATTTTCTGTGTCATCAAATACGTCAAATTCGAGCTTCTTTCGCCGTCACAAACTTGATTAATCACATGAATAATCACGTACGTTTCTGAAAGCGATGCCAGTAATTGCTATGAACGGTTTAATGCCTACAACCAAACCTTCGGAAATAGGTGCTCAAATGAATAGATGGCGTAGTGGCTTGTGATAAGTCGGGCTTTCAAAGTATCCCCGGACCTGCGTATCTTTGCCCAAGCATTGTTTGTTGTGCAGTCATGCACACGGTCATGCATATGTACACTAGTCACAGTGAACAAAGGTACAGGCCAAAACTTGGGAACTTTAGACGACGGACCAAGTGGTAATGCGTATCAGTTTTCCTCATAGAATCGCAATTTCACCAAGAGGTTAAGTGAAACCGACTGCCAAGTTCGATGCTTCAAGGGGATAAGGCAGCAAGCGCTCCTCAGTGAACATAGTATTACTGCGCGATCAGGTCATTAGTAAGGCGTCGCAGTCAAATGCTGCCGGTACAGCTTAGCTTGTCATCCTTGCATACTGGAGCACTGCAGCAAGCCCTGGCTGTGTATTAGAGGCATCAGTGTATATTAGTGAATGTTTCAAACATCAACTGCAGTTGCCCAAACGCCCCGTAGAACTGTTATTCACACAAACTAGCTTGTCCCGGGTCTACGCTCACGCGGTCCTCCAACGAAAATGAAATTATCCGTGAGCCTTCGTCCGCCCGACTCTCTGTGTCAATCTCCGTCTCACCCAAAGCCAGCTGCCACGGAACTGCGTATCTCTCCTCCAATCGCGGCACCCATGATGACGGTTATGGGACCGTCCATAACCCGAACAACATCAGTGCACTGATGGCATTGCACTGTCATACCCAGTGAGATGGCACTCCCGCAACTACTTTCTTCAGAATCTCGACCGCAACCCAACTAAGAGCAAAATTTTCACCCGGCCCCGTCGCTGGGACGAGCTCTGTCGTAACCGATGAATTTTCGCTAGCTTGACTTTTCCGCTACAGTTTCGGCTTGCCTCCGCATACAGTGTTTGGGTCGCCTTGTATATTACCACCTTGTCCCGACCCAACCTATCCACCGCACCTGACTTCCCTACAACACCGAAACCAGTGAGTCTGTTTAATTTAGGATTATACCATATTTTTGAGAAAAAACCTGCCATATGCTCCCAATTTGAATTATTTCATCTCCATCTCCGCTTTTTGCTCGTTGTGACTCCAGCCATTTACCCAACCGCGCGAGGTCGCTCATGGCCAGCAATGGTTTTCGATTTTAGTTCATACCAGCTGGCTATGTCATTGAACTAGTCGGACCTCATGCTCACTGTTCCCGACAGGTTGGGACCTGCGTATCTTTGCCCAAGCATTGTTTGTTGTGCAGTCATGCACACGGTCATGCATATGTACACTAGTCACAGTGAACAAAGGTACAGGCCAAAACTTGGGAACTTTAGACGACGGACCAAGTGGTAATGCGTATCAATTTTCCTCATAGAATCGCAATTTCACCAAGAGGTTAAGTGAAACCGACTGCCAAGTTCGATGCTTCAAGGGGATAAGGCAGCAAGCGCTCCTCAGTGAACATAGTATTACTGCGCGATCAGGTCATTAGTAAGGCGTCGCAGTCAAATGCTGCCGGTACAGCTTAGCTTGTCATCCTTACATACTGGAGCACTGCAGCAAGCCCTGGCTGTGTATTAGAGGCATCAGTGTATATTAGTGAATGTTTCAAACATCAACTGCAGTTGCCCAAACGCCCCGTAGAACTGTTATTCACACAAACTAGCTTGTCCCGGGTCTACGCTCACGCGGTCCTCCAACGAAAATGAAATTATCCGTGAGCCTTCGTCCGCCCGACTCTCTGTGTCAATCTCCGTCTCACCCAAAGCCAGCTGCCACGGAACTGCGTATCTCTCCTCCAATCGCGGCACCCATGATGACGGTTATGGGACCGTCCATAACCCGAACAACATCAGTGCACTGATGGCATTGCACTGTCATACCCAGTGAGATGGCACTCCCGCAACTACTTTCTTCAGAATCTCGACCGCAACCCAACTAAGAGCAAAATTTTCACCCGGCCCCGTCGCTGGGACGAGCTCTGTCGTAACCGATGAATTTTCGCTAGCTTGACTTTTCCGCTACAGTTTCGGCTTGCCTCCGCATACAGTGTTTGGGTCGCCTTGTATATTACCACCTTGTCCCGACCCAACCTATCCACCGCACCTGACTTCCCTACAACACCGAAACCAGTGAGTCTGTTTAATTTAGGATTATACCATATTTTTGAGAAAAAACCTGCCATATGCTCCCAATTTGAATTATTTCATCTCCATCTCCGCTTTTTGCTCGTTGTGACTCCAGCCATTTACCCAACCGCGCGAGGTCGCTCATGGCCAGCAATGGTTTTCGATTTTAGTTCATACCAGCTGGCTATGTCATTGAACTAGTCGGACCTCATGCTCACTGTTCCCGACAGGTTGGGAAAGAAACCTATTATTATTATTTCATCGGATATTCCCCACTTTTGTGACATCGTCCTCTTTTCGTGCAATTTGCACTACCACAAATCTCCCAGTCATGCTTCATTCTGAATGTAAACGTATGATCATGCCACCCACAAGTTGGGAATGAACATTATTATTATTCTTGATATTAATCTTATAACGCTTTTTCAGTAGGGCTGTGCGCAGGGGCTATCTACCGCATTGCGCCCTTGACAAACAAATCAAATCCCAACGAGGAAACACGATGCTGGAAACGAAGCTGAATTACGGTGAGTAAAGTTGAAGCAATCTCTTAGTATCTTCTGGAGGTTTTGGTACCGCGCAAACATCTCCTCAGCACACGAACAAGGCAACTTACGACGTCACAAGACGCTGTTTGGGGTGAATGGCCGTCCTCTGAGCAGAACCAGATGACTTCAAGGCTCAAATTTTGCATTTCTAGCCCCTCTTGTGATACCGCATATGTTTTGGTACATATGTTCCCAGACTGATGAGGATTCGGTACTGGTTGGCAAGTTGGCGTAATCAACGAGCCAATAACACGTGCTTGTGTGCTAACCTAAACATTTGCAAAACAACTTAAAGGCGAAGGAGCCAAGTAGACAGTAGAACAAATGTTGAATTTTCACGACTAACGATGGTCAAATTGTAGAATACGCATTACCTTGAGCACGACTCTCGCTAAACCTCAGGGCTTGCCAAGTACATCATGAATAAACGAATGGTGATATTTCGAGTAAGTGTCGCTTGCTGAGGAAATTTAACAGAATATATGTCGATTGGGAATATATCTACCTTCTACGCTGCGGCTTCTATCTATGCAAAAGTTGTCATCCTGAGCGTAAGCCCCACCTTAGTGAAAGACATTAATTTATCCACCAACTTTTCGATGACAAGATCAACTCAACAAAATGATCAAGATCAGCTTACTGCAACCGCCAGTAATCTGGACTAAATTGTCTTAAATACAAATATTTGAGATCAGTAAATTCTAGTAGGCAGTAGAGGGATCTTGTCAACCTATCTCGCGTCCGTGGTTTCCTGAGCGGCTTATAGCCCTAGTATCGTCCAACTCACTAATAACCTCCAGGAAATCTGGTGCACCACCTCAGAATTTACACCCCCACCAGTTGTTACGTGTTTAGTTACCCTCATTACGCCCCGTTTAGTCTACATACAGTGAACTGTCCTGCCTTAGGTTGTATGGTTATCTTAGCAATCTTAGCCTGACTTTGAGGACTACACTACTGAGTGCAAATCCACCCCTATTCTGTCTTGTTTAACCTCCTGGAGTCACTGCCACAACTGTGGTAGTCGTTCATTTTTCCCGTATTAAAGGAGTATAACTTGTCTGATGACCCCTGTAAGTCTCCAAACCTTATTGATGTCATCTCATTTCATCTTCTTCCCATGCTTTGACCCGTGGTGATACGCGCTATGGATGACCTGTTTGGCCATTGTCCACTCCACCCGAGCTGCGCATTATGAGCGAAGGGATCCTCGACCTGAAAAAAAGAAAAAACAACAACAAATAATACCCGCGATATTGTATCGGTTTTGCTTACCCTGGGAAATCACCGGAAAACGCACAGCATCCCACTGATCAGAGGACTGCGCATGTCAGCCTAACTACCTCAACAACGACGTCCGTCACGGGGCTGTCCAGAAACCGAAGTATTTTAATGCAGTGACGGTACGGCACTGTGATACCCAGTTTGATACCACATCCGCAATTGTTCACTTCCTACTGTCACTGCGCCCTCGCCCACTCGTTTCCTTACCGGCAAAGTCGCGTCCGAAACATGACGTCAATTCATACCGATCGCCCTCCGCAGCCATTGGTAGACCACAATAGATGTGGGCGGATTGGCTGCCCGTCGAACCTCAACCGCGGTATGCAGTGTCACGCCTGCAAGGCCTGGTGGCATTTCAAATGCAGGGGTTTACAGGACGACCAGATAAGCCGACTAGCCAACTCTCCTGACCCATTTGTCTGTGCCAGCTGCCTCTACGTCAAGGGTGCAATGCATACCGC